TTGCCTTATTCCTCTAGTTTTGCGAACCTCCGTTTTGATTTCATCAGGTATACGTAACGATGCAGGACTAACATAGTTGAGGGTAACTTGGTATTGAGATAATACCCTAACTAAACTGTGTACCGTTCGACCATTTTTTAAGTCACCGACTATCGTAATAGTTAACCCATTGACAGTTCCAAGTTCTTCACGAATGGTGTACACATCAAGGAAGGCCTAAGAATAAATTATTAAAGATAAAGAATAAATTATTAAAGATAAAGAATAAATTATTAAAAGATAAAGAATAAGTTATTAAAGATAAAGAATAAATTATTAAAGATAAAGAATAAATTATTAAAGATAAAGAATAAGATGACCAATAAATCAAAACGGAGGTTCGCAAAACTAGAGGAATAAGGCAAAAAGAATATTCGGATTTGGAAAGTGTAATCGCAGAAACTGATGTACTCTATATGACACGAATTCAGCGCGAGCGATTTACAGATCAAATCGAATATGAACGGGTTAAGGATTCCTATATAATAAATAACGCTACACTGAGTCGTTCTAAACCAAACATGATTGTAATGCATCCATTTCCGAGAGTAAATGAAATCGACCCAGAAGTAGACTTTGACGATCGTGCTGTTTACTTCCGACAGATGAAGTATGGAATGTTTGTCAGGATGGCATTATTAGCTATGGTAAGTCGTTTCTATACAGATGATCTTAATTGCTCATGTTGGTTCTAACATTGCCCATTCATGTCATTGGTTTAGGTTTTGGGAAGATCAGCGTAAAGTAGAAAGGCTTCTGAAATCACACAGTATATATAGTAGCGATAAATTTAATACTTGCTTATTGGATTATCAAATAATAATAATATTAGTAATAAAAAGATTTAAAAAGTATATTTATAAATTGTAGTATTACAATTTATTTAATTTATTTATTTTTTATTATATTTCAGTATTTATGAATTTTTTGTGCCTGATATAGTTTTAAATAAGAAAATTCCGTTGCAGATCACTACCTTTAATTGCAAACTACTACTTGAATAAAAGCCTGTCATTTTCGATATCGCGACAGCCTTTTTTTTTGTTATCGTTATTTCCCATTCTACAACGTTAGCGGCGTAGCTTTAAGACGGGACGTCACGTGACAAATACTAGTTAAAATCCCAGCCCAGTTTATATACGCTCTCGCGATATTTAAAGTTATCAGATAATCAGGGCTCGCGAAAAACACGTGATGACGATCTTCAATTCATACAAGTGCATCGAATTTTACATTACTACGAAGGACGATTCTAACGATTCTAAAAATGACAACAACATTGTTTTCTTCAACCAATCCAGCTAAATGTAGTTGTAAATATGTTCCAGGTAGTCATGACAATTTTCTTTCTTACTGATCTGGAATTTCTATTGTTATAAATTCAAAAATTCTTACAATGTTTCTATGTGGCAGGCGTTGACAATACTAATAGGGCGTGCGGCATCGACTCTGATTGTGAAAATAGGGCTAGATTTATTGAATGTACGCAAGAGATTTGTTCCCAAGGCACTTATTGCCAAAATAGATGGTAAAATCTCTAGTAGAATGCAACTCTATTTAGTTCAAAGTAATAAATTTTTACTCAAAAGTATATTTTTGTTTTATGTCATATAAGCATTCAAAGCCATATGAATGCCTTGTTTGATATTATCAGGGCACCTAACAAGTATTTTGGATTAAAGGCAATAAAGCCAATAAAAGAGTATGTGTTGTCGTCTTTATATACTGCCTATCATAAATTATATCTTAATGTTCTTTATCTATGTTGAATAGAGGATCATTCATTGTAGAACCAATTGAGACTCCTGTAGAAATAAATAATTTAGAATTTCACATGGATAAATACATGAGTGAAGGATTGTGGCGAACCTATTTTCCACCATCAGATACAAGCGAGGTAGGATTCTATAATTAATTATGTTTAGTACTTATTTTGCTTAATTAAAAAGTGCAAATGTACTCATAGATAAATAATGCGGCAAAAAAAGGAAGACTTTCTCGTTTCATTGCGCATTCTCGTAATCCCAATTGTCATGAGCAAGAATGGCTAGTAGGAAATCAGACCAGGACTGGTATATTTGCTAGTCGTGATATCTCGGATGGCGATGAATTAACAATTGATTATACTGAATCATCAATGGGGTAAATAGGGTATCAAAGATGTTATGCGTTGATGTGTCATTATACAAAATTTATTCAAGGGATTACTAATTCTGATATATCTTAGATATGGAAAGCCACGTAAAGTTAAAGAGCAAAATGGCTCAGATGTAACTCCTGAGGAAGTCCGCCCACTTGAAGATAACCAAGGAATTTTTAATTATATTGGGCGTATGTTGCAAGCTGTCTACAGGCCAGATTTGGCAACTCAAGTGCTTCACAATTTAGAAGTAATATTAAGTTTCATTAAATATTTTCGGCTTTTTTTTTTTTCAATAAATTTATTAACTTAATAATTCTTTTACCCATTTAAGATAACTACAGATGAAAATGTTTTGAGAAAATTCTTAAACCTCGATGGATTAAAAATATTAAGTTTGTGGTTTCATGAACATTCTGAGCCTAAACTCATAGAACGGGTTTGTATTTTTTTGATTGGTCTGGATTGAATGTTTATTTTTATTAATATCAACCATTAACTCCGTTTACTATAGATCATTTCTGTTTTGGAAAAATTGCCATTACAATACAACGATCTTGACATCATGACTGAGATCAAAGGAAGTCTTAAGATGATAAAAATAAACGATGATGGACTTCATGATCGTGTTACAAGGGTACTAAATAATTTTAATATATAACTTAAAATCATTATAATATAAAATAATATATCTTATGTGCGTATATTCTTTCCCACAGTTGTTAGAAAAATGGCGTAAGCTTCATGCTCCGTCTAAGAGTACCACGGCTAATAATTCTTTGAAAAGTTCAATTTCATCTGATCGGGATAAACAAACAAGTCCAAGAAATTCGAAGGCATAGTTTTTTTTTTTCCTTTCAGATGAATGAGATATAATTGCAAAAATTTGATGAACCCTTCACATATTAGGATAAAATTTTGGATAGGGACAAAGGTCACTCATCGAAAAAGAGTGATAAAGTGAAAGTAATATTATTTTATCATAAAGCTATTCCTATTCTTTAGATTTATACCATATAAACAGACATTGTTTATTAATATATAGACAATGGAAACATGTTCTGAAAAGAAACAAAAAACGCCTGAACCCAGTAGTACACTTGGATGCATATCCTTATTGCCTGCGAATACATCTTCCTCGCAACTATGTAATGAAGAACCTGGTTCTTCACATGTTGCTAATGCTAATATGAAAACTAATAATGTTGAATCAATTGATGATACGCTGATACAGCCGCCGTCTATTACTGCATCGGATGAAAATTCGTTTACTCGTACATTTAATAAAGATAAATTCCGTGATGAGGTGAGTATATATTCTTTGTTAAATGTTAGGTTTGACGTAATTTACCTTTACCTAGCAACTGAAGTTACTATGCGTTGAATCGAAACATTAGTTTGCTGCGGCAGTAGTTGAGTACTCTGAGCGATTCAAGAGTCAAATTGAGGAACGCACTCTGACCAAACATGTTAATAAGGTAATTTATCGGTTTAAATTTTAAGCATTATATCTTAATTTTGGTTAAACTAGATATATTTGTAGTGTATCGAACTTTGCTTTGGCAAAGAAATGCGCTTAGCAGAAGTGGAAAGTGTTACGTCAGGGGTTCGTAATCGTATCGCAAAATTTTTGGATGAATATATGAAAAAATTGATCATTTCAATTAAGGGAACAAAAAACGATAAGGATAAGGATAAGGATAAGAAAGATAAGGGAAGAAGGAAGAAGAAAGAGAGAGATGAAGTTGAGGACAATTACAATAGTAAAAAAGTCAAAATATGATTAATTGCTGTTACTCTTTCTTATTCCCATTATTAGAAATTGTTTTATTATAATTGATAATATTTCCACTTTTAGACTGTATTTATAATCGAACAATGATTAACGATCGAGTTTATGGTTTAGAACAAAAAATTGTAATAAGCATATATACATTCACCAAAATTATTTTGTAGAATCATTATAAGGAGATTATATTTTTTGATCAGATCGAACGATAAATGTAGTTTATGATTTCTTACTTTATAAATTTTGTATTTTAATAAACTTATTATCATAAATTTTAATCATTTCAAATAAAATCTGTATATAGAACTTAAAATGTTCGATACAAAATTATAATAATACTGCCATTAAACACTATGTGTTGTGGCCTCAGGTTACCTTTTCATTTACTATATCTTTAATGACCGATTTGTATTGACCTTATTTGAACTATTCAGATTAAATAAAATAAAATTTTAATTAATAGTTAAACTATGCAAAGTTATATATAACGATAAGAGGGAATATTGTTATACGTAGCGCTATATATAGTACTTTATATCTAATCACAAAATTAGTGTAACATGTGAATTAATTTTCCAATAAGTTTAATTCAAAGGTTTGCAAAGAATTTTTATCAGGAAAATTTAAAACCTGTTTATAATCAGTTGCAAGCAGTTAATCGATTATAATCGATCAATTTTAAGCGATTATTATCGGTGATGATAATTGATTTATAGCGCTTTGCAAAAAAATGTGATCCCATGATTTTTGTGATGATGAAATAGGAAAATTTCCGAGATTCTAAATTGTCTATTAATTCATATTTTCGATATTTATATTTATTTGAAATCGATAAGATTCTTAAATCTACAGGATTTCCGATTTTCACGTGACATTGTGATCTGCAGTGGTCACTCTTTTTGCAAAGCGCAATAAATCGATTATAATCGATTAGTTTTATTATAATCAATAAAAATCTTTATCGCATGTAATCAGTGGGGTGATAATAATCGAATAAAACCAATCAGTTTTCAAAATTTTCTGATGTAAAGCATAAAAATAGTTTAATAAAAATATAATTAATTTTTGGACGATTTTAATACTCACCGGAGGTGAAATTCACCGGGTGCTATATCTCAAAAACGTACTAAGTAAACGGGATCGGGTATTCTAAGTAAAAATGTTCAGGACTCTCGAAAACCTGAACTAAATCGGGACCTTATATCAAATCTACATTATGTTATATAAAACTCCTCCTTTATCTTAAAACTGCACCCTAACCCTAAAAATTCTTAGGCTGGCGAATTTCACCTATGGTTAAATTTAAATTATTTCTTTTTATATATGTCGATGAAAATGGTATTAAAAATAATAATTAGTCACATTACATTAACGTTAATATCTATCAAATCGGACGGGTAAATGGTTTAAACTATACGTACGTACGTACCTGATTTGGGTGGTTATGCTCGGTTTGTGATTATATGAGGTGATACTTAGCTTTTCGAAGCTTTCGAGTGGCTTTCCTTGCACATATAGACAAAAGTTGGTTTTGACATTGTGAAATTGGTTTGACACTCACCTTATTATATACGTACGAGATTGGTTTAACACAGTTTATAATAATTATTATAGCAATGAGATCAAAAAAGATCGATTTTGGGGTGACTTGTAGGTCAAATGATAATAAAATTGTAACCCCAAATTCCACCGATCTGCCAATATGTAGTCATGCTTATTCTAAATACTTAGATTAATGAGGTGAATATGCAAGGCTCCTTTTTATGATAACCCTAACCAATGTAGTGTTGATAGTTTTAAGTAGTCAATTAAAAAAAAATTTATGATCTTCCTGCTGACATGATGGGTTAGGGTGTTATGTCACTTTTCAAATTACTGCAGGTTCAAGACTTGGCTGAGGATGTACACCCCCTATTTTCAGAGTAACATGACTATCAGTACAGAATACTCCTTCACAAATATCTCTATCTATTGTAGAGACGATATCAGGTGATTAACTAAAGTAGTTACCCTTCCGCCGTCATCATTTTTTCTACTGTATATCTTTTTTTTGCCTCGGTTCTTCTCTAGGTGGTGTGGAAACAGTAGGACTCGAATAGGCATTTCGAGGCGGATGAGAAACAGTCAATGCCTGCACGAGCAAACTCTTATTTACAATACAATGTTTCTTAAATTTAATAACAATTACGTGATGCTATGGCATATTAGGCATCAGTGGAATTTCTACATAATCCATGGAATTCCCACTTGCATCATGTATAAGAACATTTAAATATATTCTCTTGCCAACAACTTTGATTCTGTGCAAAATTTAAATAGATGCTCTCATCCAACAAGTCTCTCCATAATTTTATATAATTTTTTTTTATAGGAACTGCAGAAAATACGCAAACATTCTGTGAATAAAAATTCCACTAATTTTTTTATTGCACTTTTCTAATGCCATTATATCCAGCATTTTTCCTATTTTTTCCTTAACTGTTTTACAGTTCTACGTACTTTCTTGGTGTTCAGCTGTGCTTAAACATATACAGCCATTCGATAAATCACTCAAAGTTGCCTGTAAAGGCATAACTACATCTGTAATATAAGTCCCTTTATTTCACATATTATGGGACATACTCGTCTCAAAAGCTATACATCTTTTTTAAATGTATACATATTTAGTCTGAAAAAAATATACATATAAAAAATTACTAAGTATTTAACAGTATACTAAGAATTCATTCAGCTAATTTCTTCTAAATCAGATTCTTCCTTCTTCCATAAACCATCATGCCTAATATCTCTGAAATTATCTAAAATGCATTCTTTTTGAAATTATTTATAAACTCATTGTATTTAAAAGAAACTAAATCTGGGAATTTGCATTTATCTTTTCATAAGGCTTTTAAATAATATTTTTGCTTATAAATATATTTATTTACAAGATAATTAAATTTTATAAATATATACTATATCTTATTACAAAAAAGTATGTCACTGTCTTTTGCTTAACTTTCTACCATTTTCACAAAGAACTGTACTCACAATTGGATCCTTCTATACAAGTTTGAATGCATCTACAAAATCATTTAAATTTTTTAAGAAGAGCATTGTAAAGACTTGCATTCATGTCTGTCATTGGATAATTGATTAGAAGAGGAGATAAAGCTGAAAATAGGTAAAGTATAATTGACAGGAGTAGTAATATTACTATTGTTTAAAGCAATTATTAATTTTATTAGTTTATATCATATGATTATCAAATAATAAAAATTAATATCTAACTTTAAAAACATGTATTTCAATAAATATTCAACCAATTTTAATGATTTTACTACTATTAAAATCAGAAAAACCTATTATATAGCTTTTATTTAATTTTTAAAAATGGTTTACTTAATAAAATAAATTGTAATTTTTAAAAAATAAAATTGTAACACTAAAATCATATGAAAAATAATAAACATACCCTCTACCTTTAAATAATTATTAAAATACTTTATTAAAATTTTTTAAAAAAGTAATCTATATAAGAGTATAAAAATATTAAAAAAAAATATTAGTTCTCTAAATTAATATAAAAATAAACCAATAAGACTAAAATATAAAAAAATTAAAAATTAATTTAAAATTAACCGGTGGTGAAATTCACTGGCTTAAGAATTTTTAGAATTAGGGTTAGTGTATTAAGAATTGTTTTTTTTTATATAAAATAATATAAAGCTAATATAAGGTTCTAATCTCAGTTCTTGTAAAGTTTTTAGAGGTTCTAAATATTTTTACCTAGAGTACCCGATTCTATTTACTTAGTACATTTTTGAGATACAGCGCCCCCAGTGAATTTTATCTCCGGTGAGCATTAAAATCATCCTTTATATATAGTATTAAAGTTCATATTATTAAAATAATTTATCTTTTTTATTAATTTTTTTTTTTTAGATAAAAAGAGGTTCTAATTATGTCTAGAATAAATAAATTTTCAATTTTGCAAGTAATCTCAAAGTAAACTCTTTTTCAATCAAGAGTCAAAAAAGTGTTGAGAAATAAAATAGCAGAAATATTTTTAAATTGGTCAAGTGTGTTATCATTGAGATAAATATATAAATAATATACATAACTTGATAAAGTTTAATACATAAATAAATATTTTTTTATTAGTAAAAAAAATGGTGAAGAGTAGTCTGCAGTTAAAGGATCAGAATTTTATGGTTAAAACAGCACAGAGGTAAAATGCCGGAAGTTTCTGGTATTAAACAAAAAAAAAAAATCATATAATAAAAAATATTCATTTTAATTACTGTAAAACTCAGAAAATAAGAACATCTATAATAAGAATTTTATATTTTGTAAAATATTGATCTTAAATTAATTAGTCAGAATTAGATGTTATCCGATACCCTACTATGATCAGAACTATCAAGTTATTGTTTATTATGCATTCAATAATCATACGTATACTAGATTAATACTGTATATAGTATTATTAGTTTGAAGCTATTATATGGTTATTATATATTATGTATATAAACAGACATCCTTTTCAAAAGTTATATTTTTAATTTATTTCTATTTTGAATTATATAATTTTGTATATATATCAAAATTAGTAAATTAAAAACATAACTTGGTGCTATTTTACCTTGTTAAATAATGTAAAAAATTAACTGCATGAAGAACAGATTTTCTGCGCAAGAAATGTTATAAGTGCGAAGAGAACATTATTAAATCCAGTGTTATTTTGCAGAATAATACTTATAAAACGTAATTTGAAAAAATTTTATTACAGTATCCCTGATATTTAGGACTAATATATGGATATTTTTATAAATGTAAATCAACGAATTAATTGCATATTAAATAGTTTTTAATAGTGCAATTGATAAATTTAATATCAAATTAAATTTTTATAATTAATATATTTTTAATATTCTAAAAAAAAACTCTCAAATATTCAGTCAAAATTTTTCACCAAGACTCGTTTCCTGAAAAAAAAAAAAAACCTGATCAGCGACGTGTTTTTCTAATCTGATAAATATTCCGAAATCCAGTTTTTCGCTATGGCACTCATTACGATTTAATATACTTGACGTTAACAATTATACGAATTATTTTGACGAATGAGCCACAAGTTGATGAGTCAACCACTATTCTGAACCTAAATCGGGTCCAGTTGAGTAGAGTAAGGCTTGAAAGGCCTTCACTCTCCTCAGCTCCAGCCAATAAATATCTTCGTTCAATATGGCATTATTTGATACCTTTAGAAATTACAAATTGTTTTTATTTTGCGTGACTTTATATAACGTTTTGGACGATAATAATTTACTTTTCTGAATAGGGTGTTTCAATATGACAAATAATACAGTATAAATTTTTAATAGCTTTTTTTCACCCGCACTTGTGTTGACTTTAAGATATCTATAAGCAACTGCTTTTCTATTCTTATTTAAAATCTTGCCAAAACCTTCCGGTGCTAATCCATGTAGGGTCTTTAAGTTATTCAAGATACTGGTAATTAATATTTTTCATTGAAAATACCAATTTTTTGCTGGTGTCTTTTACCATAATATTAACTAATGAACTTACTTTGGATAAATATTTCTGATTCGACCTTTAAACAAATTGATACGTAATTCATATGAATCAGCTTAGAGAAACTATCTTGGCATATAAAACTATATAAAGAAAGTGGTAATTAGGTTTTACGTACTGTAGAATGTTCATACATCGTTACAAAAACGTTGATGTAGTTACACAGATAGATAATGATCGGGCTCGTGGACCATGTGATATTTTAAATCCACGAGAGGTTACACGGCATAAATTTAATCTGATTAAACTATTTTATTCTATTACCTTTGTAAGCAATATTTCATATCCCTCATTTTTTTTAAAAAAAAATTTTTTTTGACGTTTACCAAAGCGTACTTTGCTAAAAGTAAGTAGAATTATCATAATACTTATTTCTGATAAACGCTAAGTGAATTAATTGAGTCATTTTATTTAAGAAATGGACGACAGTGAAATAAAAATGGGAGATGTAGTAGTTATATTGGATAACGAAGATCAAGAAATTACTACAACCAACAACAACAAAAAAAAAAGAAGCA